CTCCCGCCGTCCAAAGACATGCGGCCTAGGTTGATTGGTGACCCTGAATTGTCCTTCGGTGTGAGTGTGAGTGTGAGTGGTTGTCTGTCTATGTGTGCCCCTGCGATGGACTGGCGACCTGTCCAGGGTGTACCCCGCCTTTCGCCCGATGTCAGCTGGGATTGGCTCCAGCCCCCCGCGACCCTGTACGCAGGATAAGCGGTTGACGATGGATGGATGGATATATAATTGGAGCGTGCATGATCTTGACTCCACAGAAGCCAGTGTGACAGTCCAACATATGTTAGTAACCTAAAGTACGGATCCTGCTGTGGTTTACGGGTGGGGTGGTTTTATCTTGGTACTGAAGTATGTGCACGGCCACACACACTAAGCACAAACCATTTGTATCCTGGCACGTGCTCTGTCCCATACACACAATACTCAGTTATCACTGGCTTAGTCATTCAGTAGATTAAGTTTAGCTGCTGAATAACAACATCCTGTTTGGTTTATGTTTACAGCCTAAAAATGAAGCCGTATCCTCCTGGATGTTAAACTCATCCGTCCATCCCGACACTTCCCTTTATTGTTCCATCTGAGCAGAAAGATGAATCTAAATAAACAAACTCTTTCCCCCTTCTGAATTTTCTAAATATAAAATGCACAGCCAGATAATGAAAAGGGCTGTATGTGAAGAAGGGTGTGCAACATAGTTATTTTAAGTCTCCCATCAAGTACATTAATCATTTAACATATTGGATTCTCTGTAAACTAACGTTACCACACGGTAACCCTACTATGAACACAAGCTACTTACACAGTATGTATACAGACAAAAACATGTTCAGTTAATCAGACTGTGGCTCAACATCTGGAGCACTACATAAAAATGAGTCAATTCACAAATGACAGACATGTTAACAGTTATGTTGCCTACTCACCTTTCTGTATATTGTAAACCATGTCAGCATTTTCTGCTGCCGTGGACAGACACCAGAGGCGGAGAGCGAGGATCAGAAAGGCAAAGTTCTTCCGCCGCCTCCAGGTTCGCATGATGCCCGGGCTCGGTGTGGTGAAGCCGGGGGAAAGCGCACTGGTCAGACTGCGTTATTAATGCAGCACGACCAGACACTTCACACAGGTGACAGGATGGAGACAACAGTTCAGAGCAGTTCACAGTGGTGTAGTGGGGGGAAAGACGGGGAGGGGTGGGGGGAAAAAAGCTTCACCACCCAGACTCCAACGAGATGCGGCAGGCTGTCATTTCAAGAAAGAAGCAGTCAAAAACTTTTCCTTTTTCTTCCTGCACCAGACGTTTGGCGGACAACAGTCTGGGGGAAAATGTACAAACACACGTGTTAGCTAAATGTTGTGTGGATGTGCTGCTCATGTGATAGGAGTATGGCAAGGAGTGGTAGGAAAGACAGAATGAGGGATGTTGGAGAGTAGTGAAGCGGTCTTGCCATCCCCTCTCGTACCGGAGCAGCCACACTTTGCCATGTGCGCTTCAGACTCCTCTGGGTCCTAAAGCCGGGCAAATGCAAAACCATTTAGTTGTCAAATCTAATCTGAGGATTTTATGGATTTTACCCATTTACCCACTTAATCTGGCAGACAGAACAGTTATTTCATGTCTAAAAGCACACAAAAAAGCATTGAGGATGTGTTATTATCTGCCGACATGCCACATATGGCGCAGCATACTTACCATAATGTTAGAAAGAAGAGCACTGTCAGCTAACGTTGTCTGTCGGTTTACAAAAACAACTTTGAAGAGAAAACCCTTTACTGGATAACAGGCAAAAAAAAAAAAAAAAGCAAACGCTAGCTAGTTTATATAAAATTTTGTTTGTAGCCTATGTGAGAATGTGTTTGTGGGGTTTGTGTTAGGTAAGTAAGCCTGTTAGATGCCAGTTGTTAAGTAGCTAGCTAAACTTTTTTAAAACAACTTTATTGAAAGATCAATAATGTTACATGACAAAAAAAGAGATCTGTGTACAGGAAAAGAAACGACTTAAAATGTATTGAAATGTCATAAATAAATTAAGAACTATTAAAAAAAAAGATTTAAATAAATATATGAAATAATTTTACATTACATTTGTTCATTTAGCTGACGCTTTTATCGAAAGCAACTTACAATTGCTATGTACGTCAGAGGGCGCACGCCTCTGGAGCAACTAGGGGTTAAGTGTCTTGCATCCATTGTCAATGGATGAGGCTTCAAATTAAAAGGCTATTGATTTATTTATTGTAGATATCAGACACTACCAACATACACATAAGAACTTTGACCCATCCCCTCTTGTTTCAGTACCCCATGTTTCTCTCGCTCAGTCTCAACTCCTCCCTGCTAAAATGTGTTTTTTGATCTAGTGGGTCCACAATGGATTAAGATGATCAACTCCTCCCCTAACTCACTCTTTCTAAAATATGATGGATGCAGCCTTAGAGACACAACCAAGCAAGACACACACCAAAAAAAAGCTTCGAAAATGGCACTTCCCTTGGCGGTTACATAATATAAACGATGGCACTGCTTGGGATGTAATTGCTGGGAAATATAGAGTGAAACACTATGATGAGCTGTGAAGAATGAAATCTATGCATGTATGCTGATGGGATTACAAGTTGACATTTCTAAAATGTTATGCTTTTAACCTGTTGAACCGTAAGTTCCTACTAAAAGTTTCGTTTTCAATTTTCTTTCAATTTAAGAGCGAATATTGTAGATTTTATTTTATTTATATATATAAGTCACCCCTCATTTTGAAATACCCCATGGGATGAGACTGTCTATTCTTTGGCTCTATCTCTGTGTCCAGACACACACACACACATACACTGACAAACTGTCATCATCACCCTGGCCCCATCTGTGTTTTGCGCAGGCTACCTGGTCTGGTTTAGTCTAATCTTTTTTAGTGTGTGTACGCTGCAGGCGAAAAAGTCACAGATGTCTCTGCACAGGCATCAGTTCACTCCACATCTTCACTGAGGCTGCATACTGCGAAGGAAAGGGAAACATTTTGCCTGAGCTGACTTTAATTGACTTACATCCTTAAAATCCCACAGTGTCTTAACATTTCTTTAGTTCCTCTGAAGAGTTTTAGTAAAATGTACGCCCTCAAAACACCTATATTTTCTGTGGTAACTGGTTCTTTTTTGCCTGTGTTTTTGAATGACCCTCTGGCTTTTCTTGCCTGTTGCTCACCCTAAGATTCTTTGGTGAAACAAATTCCAACCCCCCCATGCAGTAAATATTGTAGATTTTTATTGTGAATACCATTTGCCTTGATGTTACAATCACAATCCTAGAATTAAGAGCCACAGTCAAAAGAGCCATGAGGCTAGATGTTCAGACAGTATGGGGTTCCAGTTAAATGACTAATGACTAAACACTTACACTCTAATCAGTGGCTCTGTACACAATTAGCCCTGTAAGCTCAGCTAGTGTTCTCCTTTATAAACCAGACATATCAGCCTTACCCCCAGGGCATCTGAGTCAGTCATGGCCATTGGGAAGCCAGTCGAGGGGCCTTAGAGCACACAGTCCACATTATGCGAATATAGCAATGTGACATACAGACACATGATGCCTCAGAGAGAGAGGCTGACTGACGGGAACTCTTCTCCTCGTGTACAGCTGCCTGTCAGTCTGTGTTCATCGTCTGGAACCAGCCTACATGGCAGGAGAACAGTTCTCCCATGTGGATTACTCTTTTAAATGGCCTTGCTGGCTTCAGTCAGTGGATAACAATACTGTTTACTAAATATGTTGCTTGCTGGATGCAAGAACCTTGCAGTATACGCCGGCTGGTCCATCATTTCAATCCTGGAGGAGAATGAACTGCAGTAGCCAACTAAAATTCAATCATTTATTCAACATTTAGCCTAGCATTTTGTTTGGGATTTAAAACACGGTCAGTATTTACTCCAGAGCAAACCCACTCACTAACAGTATGTATTTATACAGCGTGTTTGTCTGAGACCTGCGGCACATGTCCTTCCCCTGTTCTCCCCTCATCCCAGCAGGCTCTGTTTAAATGCCACAGAGATGTCAGTCACCTTTACAGGCTATATGTGGACTGCGGTCCCAGGCTGTTCCCAGAAGTCTCCTCTCTTATTACAATGTCATCTCTGGTTTGGAGCTCTGTGACAAAGGCCTCTTTCACAGGCGTTGCATGTCTCCTGAGTTTGATTAGCTTGGAATTCCACTGTTCCGGATGGGATGCCTCGAGGCATACGTGAAGCTGGTGACGAAACATGTATCTCTCCTCCCCCCCTACTTTATAAACACCTACAGTACTGTACCAATGACAGAGTCAAGGTGCTTTGCTCAAAGCACTGAGACTCAATTTCCTACAAAATGACACCACTTCTACACAGAATGTCCTTGGAATACTTTTATTTCATTTTGAGATGCAACAGTGGAAAATGAGATGGTAGATGTGTAATCAAATCATTAGGAAAGAAAAGAGTAAAATTGATTGATATGATTATATGCATTGCATTTAATCACTGGGTGATAATTTGAGCAGGGAAGACAGATCACATTTTCATCGCTTTAATTTTTCAACTGTCAAACCCTTCTCATTTTTTAACTATGAGTGTGTCTGTGGTAGGTGAGATGGTTGGGCTTTGTCACTGTCTGCACACAACAACAGTTAACTTCTTATCATACACCTTGAACATCATATACAATTTACATCTATAGGACACATTTATTTTCCCATAATCTGCTATTGTTGGATAGCCAAAAACATCTACAGTATGTGTCTGTGTTACTTGTCTAGTCAAATGATATAGATAAATGTTTGCGACAAAAAAACTACGCTAAACTTGACTTTTTGTCCCCCATGATAACTTCAAAAGCTTATTGAAAATCAATAAATCCAATTTTTTTCCTGTTGCATTTGTTTGCACTGTTAACCACGTGCAATGCAAAGAGCAAATATAAAATAGGATATTTAACAGAAATTGAGCCTTAATAAAATGAATACATATGCACAGGCATGGCAATGGTAATCATAGAACATTTAATTAAATACAAAGTCATATTTAATAACATGGAGAAAAGTTACGACCCAGAATGATCAGTGAATTAACCTTTGCCTTTCAGTGTCTCTCATTTATCTTTGCAGGATGTGGTCCAGAAGTCTCTGCAAAACAAGAAAATCAACAATAGTACTGATAACTAACGCCCCCCCCCCCCCAAAAAAAAATCTATCTATCTTGTCTCAGACCTCATATCCCTCAATCTCTTAAGAGCAGCTTTGCATCACACAGGAGCGACTCCTGCTGCTAAATTGGCTTTCACTTCCATCAGCCTCACCCCTGAGGTGTCCAAGCCCAGGTAGGGGGGAATAATTCTAGCTTGCTATCTGACCAAACACCCCGCTATGCAGTCACCGTCTTCTTACCGTACTACCCAACAGCTGGAATCTCATTTCAGCCAGCATTCAAAACTATCCACCCTCTACCCCGCACAATCAGACCCCACTGTGACTCTGCTCTGTGTGTGTGTGTTGGGGCCTTTTTTCTGACAAAAATGAGGCCTCTAAAGTACACACGACTCAGTGTTTATCAGAAGGAGACACACTCCTTTTCTCCCAATCTCGCTGTGGTTGAGCCTGGCTAATA